ACTGATCGAAAAATAGGCGCAGTGGTCCTACTAGGACACTATTACGGATGATATGGAAAGTGGCGTATGTGGAGTGGTTTGTATCGTCGAAGGAAATGAAGGGATGGTCAGGAGCAAACGCAGTCGCTGGTCTGACCATCTCTCGCCCAATTTGGCCGACGACGAGGGGCCCTTGAAGAATGGATGGAATAAATTCAAGAAAAATTCCCATATTGATTTTGATTCAGGTTTTTTATTAGAAGAATAAGGTTACTCGACACAGCTCGAAGTGTTACAATGGTTTGCACAATAAGGTGCTTACTATCTGCGACACAGTCTGATTCCAGAGACGTTGGCACCTTGTTGTCCTTGATGTCTCCTCAATACAGAGTACTCGCACTCACGGCTTCTCTCGTGCACATAACATGCCGAAATAATGGACCGCGTCCGATTTTATCTTGAACGGCTCGGGCCTCGCCGAGTTCGGAGCCGACAACCCCTGGTCATACTCGACCCTTCTCCACAACGATATTCTTAGTAGAATTGACCCGAGTTCTATTGCTTCATGCACATCCAGATGATTTCCATCTCGGCTCCCCTGCTCTGTTCGACGCTGACAGCCAGTTCTACTCTGGCCATTACGACGTCCCTCTTGGCGAGATTTTAGAACGACACCAACGAGTCCAACTCGACGACACCACTTCTCTCAATGGCGTTCTTCAGGTGTGCCTCTGAGGCAGGAGTATTCAAACCGGGAAATCTGCCTGTTGAAACAAATAATTGAAGTTCAGACGGGATTTAGAGAATGTAAGAGATGTCCATTCCACCATACTCCGCAAGGAAATGGACGTAGAAGTGTGGGATTTGGGCACATGTTCGTGGAAAGTCACTGTTAAGTCCTGAACTCTGGAGCGGAGTTCCACGGCACGACTACCGGGTTACGACGACAGAGCGTCGGGGTAAGGGGGGCGCACCTGATATCCATATACAGCACTGTCGGCACGGAATACAAAGTACCGGGTGGGCGTTGCTCGCTCTAGCTCACAAGGTCCACCGAGTCGGAGTTGACGGAGAAGATTCAAAGGAGATGGAGACGAAGGGAACGGAAATGGGTACGAGAGGCGAACGGTAAGTGCGGAAACAAAGTCGATAATTTGTCTAGATTTTCGTAGAGAATATTACATGGATTTTTATACGAAAATCTAGCCCATAAATCGGAAACTAAAATCGAAAATGAAACATGAACTCCGGACGTCTGCGGTGCGGAGCGTCCAGCGATAGAGAAAGTCCGAAGCAATATGAAATCTAACTAATAGAGTCCATGACCAAGACAACCGGAATTAAGGGGCAAAGAGTAAGCGAGACAGGATCGTGGACATGGGACAGGAGCATGGATGTAAATGACAGGAGCGAGGTTATGAGCAGGATTTAAACGGAGTTAACTAAGGAAGTGATAATGACTAACAAGGGGTTACTATGTTACAACTTCGAGGGATCGATGTTGCGCGGAGTTCGGAGCTGGTATCGGAGTTCGGGGTTAGGACCGGAGTTTGGGTCCTAACAGTCACCATCAGGAAAATGTCGGTCCTCCCTAATTCTCACCTAGCTACCCCTATTCAATGATTGAATTGAAGATTTTGACATTTGAATTCTTGGGGTAGCTAGGTGAGAATTAGGTGAAAAGACATTTTGCTGATGACAGCATTTACAAAAAGTAAATGACGAGTCAAAGTCATTCTCCCTAGCTCTGTCGAGAGAATTCGTGTCAAGCAACAAAGGCGACACTTGTGTATGCCGAGCTATGCGTTGGTGAACCGTGGAGACGGTGGTGGCGGCTACGGACGCTTGTTGACCCTCGACTACAACTCCGACTTACCTGTTGCCTGACGCCATACCGATGAAGCCACTGGACGACATCGAAATCAATGCCAAGGCTTACAAGAATGAGGGGGACGCGTAGAGTGGGATGACGCCGTCCTGCCCGTCCATGCTTGTCGCACTCCTGTCAACTGGATCACGGCCTTCACCCCGAAACCGTTAGGAGGTGGATCTCTTTTACGGGAGAGGTGCACCAGATCGAGAAGAACAAGGAATCTTGACTCAGGTTAGAGATTTCTGGATCATAAGATTCGTTTATCCCGTTCGATGTTGTCTCGGCGACTGCCTACCTGTTCGCTAAAGTTTTTCTTCTCCTCTTACAAAGTCTTCTGATGGACCTGGGCGAAATGACAATGCGCCTGTATACTACGGACCCGGCTCCAACAACATGGAACGCTGGAACGAAGGAGGATTCATTCAGATTTCGGACTAAAATACAACTATACATGTAGAAAAATTGCCATTTCTTAATGCCTCCAATGAAATCAGCTATCCATTCAAAATTCAAGCTGCAGCGCCATTAGTTGGTAATGTCGAGGAAAAGAAAACGAGGCGGTGGACATGGTGTCGTGCTTCAGCTATGGATATAGCTCCTCCAAATGAAGTGAATGGTAACAATGTGTGAGATGGTACAGTGTCTGAAGGACAATGAACAGCCGGCACCGAGTGTCTTGGTCGTGCCATCACTGCCTTTCAAATGCCAGAATGGGGAAGCCATGATGATGAACGATAAGCACACTTCGCATTAGGAGTGGCATGCGTCTACCTACGTACGTGTGCAGCAGTCGAGATGGGTCCCACTGCCGTTAAGCAAAACACGTGAGTAGCCTGTTTAGCCTTTTGGGCGAATGGATGATGCTGATGTTGTCGTTTATTCAGATGAGGGGGATAGGCGGTTCAATAGAGACCATGGTTAGCACTGGTATCCTAGCACCCGTTGGTGCGTACCAGTGATTGTGAGCGTGTGAGATACATACAACTTGAGAAAGGGCGAATTCGTAGTAAGACTCGATGGTTCCAGTGAGAGGAGTACGACAACTCTCCTAATCACTTTGGTTCTCCCCATGCTCTGCTCGGATCCGACAGCTTTCGACCCGGCCACCACTACGTACCTCCGGTTGACCACATCAAAGATGACGTTCTGCACTTGACCTTGCCTCAAATATCACCGAAAAAGGATCTTGCACCAAATTTGTCCTATGTCGGGGTTCTCGTGGGGAGACTCCGCTTCGAAACGGACATGACGCTTCGGAAAGGTTTGGATAATGGATGTAGTAAGGAGTTCACTGAACTCGATAAGCCGTGGGCACGGAGGCTGAAGCCAAAGCGCGTCAACGTTTGAACACAACTCAGACTCGTCTCCTTCAACTTCGTCGGTTTGGTCCTGAGTCAGGACCAAACCCAGTCGACCGTCTCTCGCTTCCCAGTTTGGTCGACGGCCAGAAGCGCTCAACTGATTGTAGTAAGTCTGAGACTAGACTTATATTCATTTGGAATCAAAGTATTGGCTAGAAGGATGTCAGTTTCTCGGTCCCTCGATAACGCGCAACCATGAATTTGGTGATATATCTCATTATAGAGCATAACTGAGCTCCTTGTACGCAAGATTGGCTCTAAGACCTCTTACAGACTACAGATTCGAGGGACCCAGTCTGATTCTAGAGACGTCGAGATCAGTTTTTGACTTCTATTTATCTTCATCTCATCAATACAGAATAATTACATCCGTTCTCTCTTCTGTACCCCTGCTATGTGCAACCAGTGGATGACGCCTAGTTTTATCCTATCAATGGCTCGGGCGGCGCCGAGTTCGGCACCGACGACCCTTTCGCTCATATTCGACCCTTCCCCACAGCTACATCCCTGGTAGAATTGACTCGATTTACATTCACTAGCACTCATATCCGGATAATTTCTGTCTCGACTCTCCTGTCCTGTACAACACTGACGACCAATTTAACCCTGTCGAAAGTTACAGACTTTACGAAAGTAAATACCCAGTTGAAGTCTTTCTCCATAACTTTATCGACACAAGTCGTGTCAACCGACCAAGGCAGCACTGTGCGTGCAGAACTTTGCGTTGGTGAGCCACAAAGATATAGTGGCAACTCACCGACACTTGTTGACAGTCGACTACAACCCGAGTTCTGCCTGTTGTCTAATCCCCTGACTACAATAGCCAGTTGACAACGTCAAATCGATACCGAATCCTACAAGAATGAAGAAAAAGCATAGAGTGGGACGACGCCGTCCATGCTCGTGATACTCGGCTCAACACAACCACGTCGTTACCCAAAACCGTTAGGATTCGGATCTCTTTCTACGGTAGATAGGCATTGGATGGAGGAGCAGAAGGAATCTCTACTCTGGTCAGCAAATTTGCATCACAAGGTAGTTTTATCCTTCTAACGCTGTCTCGGCGACTGCCTGTTTATTCGCTAAAACACTCTCACTCCTTTTACAAGCTCTCCTAGGGCGCATAGGTGACATGAAAGCGGGACTATATATAATAGGAACGCGGCTTGAACATCACATGAAGCCGGGATGAAGGACGATTTATTCAGATTTAGGGATATACTATAGGGGTACATGTAGACGGACTGTCATTTCCTAATGTCATCAATGATATCAGTTATCCGTTCAAAATGCAAGCTGCACCTCTTAGTTTGGAGTGTTGACGAGAGCTAGGCCTAGGTCGTCTTGGACGTGAAGAGAGCAAAGTGGTTAACAATCCTTCGACTATGCATGTAGGCACTCTTCAAGAGAGTGTGGGACGGTGTGGTGTCTCAAGGACTGGGAATAGGATCATCCTATTAGGATGACACCGAGTGTTCGAGCTGTGCCATCGCTATGTTTTCAAATACCGGGAAAGCTATGAGGACCTAGGCCATCCTTCGAGTTAGAAAACGTGATATGTCTACGTATGTGTAGCAGCTGAGGTGGGCCTAGCTACAGTTGGGCAAGATGGGAGCGGCCCGTTTGGCCTTTTGGGCGAGTCAGTGATGTTGAGACCGTCACATATCTAAATGAGACGAATATAGACAGTTGAATAGGGTTCATAGTTAGCACTCGTATACTGCCATCCACTGGTATGCATCAGGAATCGTGAGCGTGTAGAATAAATACCGGTTCCAATAATGGCATATTCGTAGCAAGAATTGAAGGAGAAACACAATATCCCCCAGCGAGAAGAGTACAACCATCATCAACAATTTATACAACTTCTCTTTCTCCCCATATCCCCACACGGTTCCGACAACTTTTCGACCCAACCGCCACTACGCACCCCTTGTCGACAACATCGTAGACGACATTTACCCTCAACCTCGCCTCAGCTATCACTAAAAACAGATTTTGTACAAACCTTTCTGATGTCAAGATGCTCCGTGAGGAAACTCTACTTTAAAAGTGGACGGGACGTCTCAGAAGGCTTCGGACAATGGACGTAATACGGGTTTTATTGAGCTCGATAAGCCGTAGGCATAGAAGCTGAGACTCAAGCATGTCGACGTTCAAGCACAACTCGAAACTCGTCCTTCACCTTCGACGCCGTGGAGAATGGTCAGTCGACAGAGACAAAATGATAACCATCGCTGATAGAGATGGTTTACAAGACAGGTATGCTCTCTGCGCACTTTTATCATCGTGTTACCAGGGTATGCAACCCTCAAGCTGACCCGGGTATCTTTGTGCCACAGTAACGGCAACATGCCCTGAACTGGAACTGAAGATGATAGAAAAAGGAGCTTTCCGACTCGCATCAAGTAGTCTGCCCTATCTGGATAATACAAGGTTCATCAGTTATGCCCATGAACGCGCATTCTCCTGCCGCTTGCTTTTTCCATTCGTAAGAGCTCTGTCACAACGGCCATTTACGCTGCACGGTTCGGGAATCTGGACTTGTCTTTCTATCATCACTTATTCAGAGGGCAGTTCGGTGTAGATATGCCAAAATAGATTTCATAAATGCAGATATCCATCAATCTATTCTAATTGGTTCGGATACGATTTTGAGATTAGACTCCAAGATGAACGAAAGGAATCCAGTCCGTAAGCTGGACGCCTGGCCGTTGGCGAAGCTTTTGGACCGCTAGATGTAATGCC